ATGGTAGTTCTGCACACCCCACCCGTGCCCCTGGTGGCTCCCCACCTACCCCGGGACCAGCCTCCAGCCCCGAGGGGGCCTGCGTGGAGCCTCATCACCCCTAGACTGCTCTCTCGCCAGCCTGGCCTCAGGTCCTCAGGTCCAGCCCCGATGAACCTCAGATCTCAGAGTACTTCAGCCAGGCACCCGGCTCTGCGTTCCCCCCATTTCCAGGTCCTGGTTCCCTCCCACAGGCCACCAGCAGCCTTTGTCACTTCATCAGAGGCTTTCTTGTGCTTACCCCGGCTGTCTTACTCAATCCCTATATCAGCTCTGTCTCACTCAGTGTCACATCCCCAGGGCCGGACCTTTCAAAAACGTTCAATAAGCATCTGTCGAATACTGCTGAGCCCGCCCCACGCCATGCCTCCCCCAGGTCCTCCGCCAAAGGAGACGGAGCCGGAGCGGAAGTAACCTGGACTGGGAGGCCAGGTCAAGGCCTGCATCTCTCGGAGCCCCTTGATCCTGTCTGGGCGGACTGAGAGAAGAAGTGAGGGCTCTCCAGCTACAGGAACGCTGCCCGCCTCGTGCTCTGCCCACGCCCGTCCGCCGTGAGCGCCCTGCAGTCTGCCCTCTGCGCCCAAGTCTAGCACAGGGCCGGGTGCCTGGCAGACACCCGAACGCCCGCCTGAAGCATTAATCTGAACCCAGGAAGGAAAGTGGAAGCGAAGCAGAGGGGAAGGTGGCCTGTCCTTGCTGCAAAATCCCCAAGGGCGGAGGGACGCGAGAGGCAGAGGCAAAGGAGAGGCCTGTGGACTTGCTCCCAACTCCGCCCGCCGCCCGCGTCCTCCCGACCCAGCCCCAATCTAAGTCCAGGCAGCCATCGAGGCCAAGTCGGGGCCCGCCTCCTAGCGGCTTCCATTGGCCTCTGACCTCCAGGTCACTTACTTCCGCTGAGGGCGGTTATCTTTCCAAGAGTACATTATATGTCACATCTGATCTCCATGTCCCTACCAGACGATAAACCTTGAAGGAAAGAGATTCTGCTGTGCGTTTTCTCAACCTCTCGCCAAAGGCCTATCACGTGACAGGCCCTCCAAGGCTGAAACCTGTCCATCCTTTCAGAGATGGGGAACAGGGAGCACAGGCTTCCGGGCCAGCGCGGGAGACCAAGCGCCACACCCTGGCCTGCCTTCCCGCCTCGGAGCCCCACGGCAACCAGCGGCAGACACGAAGGGACATAAAGCTGCGGAGTGAAGAGCGGAGGCAGGTGATGTGAGCTGTGGGGAAATCTCTGGAAGGCAAAAAGTGGATGAGGGCATGCTGGGCAAGAGAACGGGAAAAGGAAGCTGCAGCCCAGAACATGCCATGGGGCGCTGCGGGGCAGGCAGGCCCGGCTGGTGCCAGAACCGCGAAAGGTCAGAGGTGTGGCATCTACAGGCTCGGTGAAGGGCAGGAGGGAAGCCGGGAGAGGAAAGGGAAGATGAGAGGGGTGACGGCTAACGGTGGCCAGGAGCTGAGCGTCTGCCGGGTGAAACGTTCTAGAATGATGGCCGCACACTTCGTGAATACGCCAAAAGCGCTGGGCATGTTTGAAGGGTGACTTTTATCATGTGTGGCTTTTATCTCAGGAAAGCAGTTATTTAAAAAAAAAAACAAAAAAAAGCCCAACTGAGCGAGAGGTTGTATCTGAATGACAGCCTGGACCCCTCCTGCCGCCCACCGCCGCCCACCCCCACTCCAGGCACAAGCAGTTTCAAGCTTCTCTCTGGGGAAATCCGGGTGGTTCCAGGTCTCAGGGGAAAAAGCTGTCTGGAGGAAGCTAAAGCCTATGGGATGAAAGTGGACTCAGGGTAAAGCCCTCCACGTTTAGGAAACTGGGAGCCCGTGTCCCGAAGCAGAAGCCTGCTGCTTACCAGTGCGGGAGGAGAGCTCCCGCCTGAAGGAAGGGACAGGGATGATTGAAAGCCCACGAGAGAACTCGGGAACAAGAAAAGACGAAACAGAAACCAGAGTCATTGTCCTTAGATCCAAGATTTGCCCGACGAATAAAAACGAGGTATTTTTAAAAAGGAAAATGAGAGACTAAGAAAGGGCTCTCAGATATTACGCACACAGTACTTACAATTCTTTAATTCAGTGCAAAGACTAGATAATAAAGCCAAGGAAATCTCCCAGAATGTAGAGCAAAAAGGTTTTACTTTTAAAGTGAGACACGAAGAAACGATTCGGCAGGTTAAACAAATGCTAACAGCAACTGATATTTATAAAGCACCTACTGTGTGCAGCACTACTCTCAGAACTTAGTACATATTAATTCATTTCACCCTTTCAACCTTCAGGCAGATACAACTGTTCCCATTTTACAGACGAAAGATTTAATCATACAGAAGTTAAGTAATTAGCAACCTAGAAAAAGATAATAAATAGATGGAAAGAAACTGCCAAAGAAATAGAAGACTTTCCAGGACTAAATGGAGAGCACCAAACATCCAGCACAAGGAACACAGTCAGAAAACACCGCAGAAACAAGATCCTAAAAAAACATCATTAAAAATATCCTAAATGCTCCCAGAGGGGGGTTAAAAAAAAGCTAATTTGCAATAGAACCCAATTGCGTCAAGACTTTTCAAAAGACGAAGCAGCAAACATTTTCAAAGCTCTAAGTGACAGTATTTCTCTCACTAGAATATTATGCCCAACCAGACTATCATTCTAGTGTGAGAACAGAATGGCCCTTTCAAATATACTAGGAGTCAGAGTTCATTTCCCACACACATTTCTTCGGAATTTCCTAAGTTACTAACCTCTTGGGACATTATTTGAAAAATTACTCCAGAAAAACAAGAAAATAAACCAAAACAGAGGATAACGAATAAATCCCCCCAAGAGAACAGTAAAGGAATGTCCCAGGGGGATGGCTAAAAAGGTGGTCTCCAGAGGGGCCAGTCCTGATTAGAGAAGAACAAGAGAGCCAGAAGGAAATATGTGGGGGGGCGGGGGGGCGGAATCCAACACCTAATGAGATGATTGCGGACGGGGGGCGGGAGGGTGAAGGCATGGTACAAACACCATACAGTGGGGGAAAAGGGAGAAGCAAAGAGAAGTCACGAAGTCAGGGCCCAAACATGAAGCAAAATAAACAGGGTTGAATTTTAACCAAGAATAGTAAGGAAAGAACCCTGTGACCTTGACATGACCTTGGTGTCCTCTGCGTGGCACACAGCTCGCAGAGAAGACGAATGAGATCCCAGCCCCCTTGACGGCCCGACAGCGACCAGCCAGTAAAGCCAAGCCTGCTCACTGGCTCACAACTCTCGGCACCTGCAGATCTGGGGGGGCCTCGGTCTCAGTTCGACAGCCACGACCACATCAAGCACGGCTCCCAAAATGAGGGGTGCGAGGCAGAGGTGGGTTGCTCGTGTCCTCCTCTTCCTGAGTGGAAAGTCAGAAGACACTGACCAAGTTGACGGAGTTGAAGAATCCATTTGTTCACTCAACAAATATCTAGGAGGGAGCCACTCTGCCCCGTCAGCACCAAGGACACAGCAGCAAAACACAGCAAGACACGAATCTCCCACTCGGAAGGGGTGAGGGGACGAACCAGAGAAGCGACGAGTATGTTAAGATGGTGTGAAGGAGGAAACTTTAAAAAGACACTTTAAAAAGAACAGAAAAAAAAGCTAGAAGCGTGAGGCTGTTTAGGTGTTTTGAGCAAAGAAACTCCGAGTTACATACAGCTAGTGGCCAGAGGACTTCCCCAAACGAAGGTGACAGGGAGCCTCTGCGGAGGAACCGAAAGGTAAGCAGGTTTGCTCTTCATTCACAGCCACAAAGACAATCTCCATAAAACGAAGCACGAAACTCTAAACCATTTAGAGCGGATGTGGATAAGGGGTTGGGGTTTAGTGTAAGGTCTAGCATTACATGCTGGTAAATTAATACATATCTTTTTAATCTGAAGGATCAAGAAATAAGAAGTAGATTCGCTTTCACTAATTTAAAGCGTTCAGGAAGGACACGATCCAGAAAGGGCTAGAGAGGTGCTCCCGAGGTGGTATGACCGGCGACGAGATGGGACATGGAAAACTCTCCACCTGGCACCTCTCTGTCGGGTCTGCTATGTGCATACATGATTTTAAAGACACTTTTTAAGCACATTACGTATGATTTCAAAGGCTAGAGTCCTGTAAAAAGTCGCTAGCTCTTTACTCATCCATTTTTCATTGACAACTGGCAAGGTATAATCCCAGTGAGTTTTGTTCAAGGCAAACAGCTATCCTACCATTTACTATTTGATACATTTTGTGCAGACTTTGCAACATGTGTCATTCATTCGACTACTAATTTAAACTCTGCCTGCAAACTGACACCGTAAGAAAGTGGGCCTCGCTCACCACTCATCTTCCAGGCACTAGGAACTCAGAGACTCTGCACTTCCATGTGACCACAAGCAGGTTACTGGGCCTCTCTGAACCTCACTTTCCCTATCTAGCTGGCAGGGTTTCTGGGAGGTCTTATGTCGCAGGGCTGTCATGAGCACAGCGCACAGACCGGCTGAGTGCAGAACACACATAGACTGCTACTACCACTTCCAGTAACCACTTGGTTACTGACCCTGTGGGGACGAAGACGAAATAAGCAGTGTGAAGGTGAATGGAATCATCATGCTGGGTCCATCCAGAGAGAAGGGAAAGGGACCAGTGATGGAGGGGGGAAGAGCCCGGGGCGGAAGCTGCCGGAGAAACAAGGAGGGCCCAAGAGAAAGGCAGCCGCAGCTTCGACTCTGCTGGAAAGCAGCCACGGAGGACACCTGAATAATGGGCGTGGCTGATGCCAACAAAACAGGCGGTGCCAAATGCCCCCCCGCCCCTCTCTGGCCTCCAGGCCAGTGTGTGGACCCCTCCTTCAAAGCTCAGGCAGCTTACCAGGCCCCCTTGAGCCTGCTTCTCCATCTGTAAACGGGTTGTGGGAAGAATGGGCGGAGACCCCGCTGGAGTGCTTGATCAGTGGCATGCATTATGTTACCATAATAATTATTATTATTATGAGGTGCTTTATAGATATCTATTGTCAGTAACAAGAAGACGCTCAGAGAAGAAGGGAGGGAGGGGGAAAGGGGAGAAGGGGGCAAGGGAGGGAAGGGAGACGGGAAGGGAAGGGGAAGACTCAGGAAAGGAGAAATGAGGGAAAGGAACAGCTGAAAGCGGACAGGAAAAGGAATGGCCACGAAGCCACTAGGAATCTTGAGTCGCCGCCCCTTCTGAACCAGAAGTTTCTGTTTCTGTAATATACGTCATTTCCCCAACCGGACAGTAAGCTGCTGGCCCAGGCCCCCAGTGGTCCCTGCAGGAGTGTGCTCCTGCTCCTGTCTGAGGCTGTCCTGTCCACGGCTCCCAGCTCAGCTCCTGGGCCCGGAACCCTGCAGGCGGAGGGGTCAGCGGCCCAGCAGGGACTCCCCCGCCCTGCAGCACTTTGCTGGCAAAAAGTCCTTCTGCCTATATCAACACATCCATTGAGAAGTATTTAGTGGTGTCAAATACCCATCTCAAACGTTAACTCCTTCTAGCAAATCCAGTCTCGTCTTTCTACTGAAAACCACCTCCTCTGGGTTTTCAGTAGAGCACACTTCGGCAGGCAGGGAGCGAGGGGATGTACTGGACTCCTGTGACATGCCAGGCTTTACCGTGGGGACTCCAGGCGAGAAGCAGACGTGGCCCCCCCAGAGCTCATAAGATGGCTACCACTTTTGTTCCCAACTTCTCCCCCAAATCCCCGGGAAGTGTTCTCCAATCCCCGTAAACTGGTGAGTTCCCCCCTCTCTGCCCTGTCAGACGACCAGGTCACAGGAAATCAAGCTCTTTGCGGAAAACACGAACGAGGCATTCATGCTTATCGGACATCAGTCTGTGGACTGCCACGAAGACACAGGAAACAGGACAGTGGTGAAATGGGCGCCTCTTATGCTCTCTGCTGCAAATAGCAGGAGCCCTGAAAACTGCATCTCTCATCAAACCCAATAAGCCATTTCCTGATCACTCACCGAGTGGGAGTAAGTCGCCCTTCCTACCCACTGGCCACTGACCACGTTCTCTGGAGGATTCTCACAGCCCGAGTCTAAACAGTGACATGAGACAGTCATCGCTTTGCGTTTTCCCTACGATGAAGGCGACAGCTGAAGGAAAGACACGGGGAGGGAGGGGGGCCTTCACGGGGTCAGGGAAGGGCCACATCCGGGCCGGGCATGCGGAGGGGTGCGAGCCAGAACCTCACGACGTGGGCCCAGCTGTGCCCGGGGAAAAGGTGAGCACCAGCCTTGCGAGAAGTGACATCCAATGGGAGGTGCCCGGCCGCGGGCTGGGGGTCGGGGGCGCTCACCACGCTTGGGCTTGGGGAAGCTGTCGTGCAGGCGGAAGACCACCTTCTCCACGAAGTGCTGGATCTCACACTGCTCCGGGCCGCGGACGAACACCATCCAGTCGTGCGTGAAGCCCTCCGTGGTGGGCTTCTTGCGCAGCTGGGCCCGGTGCCCCAGCTCTAACTTCACCTGGACAGTGCACTGGGGGAGGGAAAGAGGCAGAGGGGCAGCGCAAAGCCCAGAGCAGCGCACTGCCCGCTGTCCCGCCTCGTCGCGCTCAGAGCACGCTCCTCGCTGCCCACGGTAAAAACAAACACCAAGTGGGCCTGTGGGCTCGCGGACCACGACGAGAGCATGAACAGCTTCCGGGAGCTTCCGGGAGCTTCCAGAGGCCCGGGCACTGTGCACGTGCTTTCCGTGCTTCTGTCCCCGGCAAGCCCAGGCCAGGCCCCACGTCCCCTCGCCACCCTCCCCCTCGGCCTCTTGTTCCTGCCTCAGGGCCTCAGCGCCCGCGGTTCCTTCTGCCTCAGGTGCTCTGCCCCTAGGCCTTCCCATGGCAAGATCCTGCTTGTACTGAGGTCTAGGCTGGACTGTCATCTTGTCAGGGAGGCCTTCCCTGGCCACCCAATAGGAAAGCACCCACCACATCGTCTGTCTTCTCGGCATTGTTCAATATCAGAACTCAACCTGCTAATGACTCATCTGCTCCACTCTAATGTCGGCTCCCCGGGGGGCTCCTGTCCGGAGCCAGCAGCCTCACCCAGATCTCATGGAATACAACGGCGCAACCCGGGGTGCAGTTACCTCCACTTATGGAGGAGTCTGAGGCTCCATGAGAGAGCTGTCCATGGCACACGACAGGGGGCCCAGCTGGTAGGAAGCAGGGCCCAGACTCCAGCCCAGGTGCCTGTCATCCAAGGGCCTGGCGCCCTTAGCCACCCGGCCAGCTTGCCTCCCTGGCCAAGCCGCCCACGCTCCTTGATTAAAGCATTTCATTCTTCGTCTTACAGAAAGCCTCCCGGAAAACAGAGACCCTCAAGGTCACCTGAGTCATCCACACAAATGCTGGCTCGGTTTTAAAAGCAGAATGGCGAGGGGTGAGCTCCAAGCCACCTGGGGACAGGTCATAGGTGGACCTGCAGCCCAACAGTCAGAGTCCCTGCACTACGCACGTGTTTGACACTCTACCCTCAAACACAAGGCGGCTCCTGCCAGTTCCACTCCACTGGACACAAAGTCACGAAACTTCAAAGCCTGCAGCACCTAGGACGTCAGAAACCGCCAGGGAACCCAGCACCAGCAGCCGCTCTCCTGGGTGCCATGCTGCCAGACCTCCCCCAGACACAGCCCGACACCTAGTATCAAATGCAAGAACAGTGCGAAGAAAACAGGGCCAAGTGGACACTTGTTCCTAAGTGCTGAGATAACCAGGAGCAAGCAGTGGGTGGCGTGGCTGCCACACTTCCCAAAGGACGCTCCCCCGCGCCAGGGTCCCCAGCCCTCCCTGCCCAGAAACCTCCCACTCGGCGCATTCCACCCTTCCTCACCCAAGCCACTGACCACGTGTGTCCCTACGGCCAGTCCCTCCATACCTGCCTCCTCTCTGTGACCCAGCAACCCGTTCGGGCCCTGCTACCAGCATCCTCCCTCCGTCCTCGCCTTCCTCTGGCTGCTCAGTTACAGATGAAGGCACAGCAGACAGATCTCTCTCGCCCTGTTCCACAGCTTTCCACGCTCACCGCGCCCTCAGAATAAAGTCCAAACACACACCCCGCTCCCACCTCTGTGCTTCCTCGAGTCTGAGATGCTCATCATTTTTCACTTTTTAACCCTTCTGAGGTCAAAGTGTACCTTATCCGGTTCACGCGTGCGTCCGTGCGCATGCCTGTGCGCGCGCACACACAAAGCGATCACAGAGTCCGCGGCGTGCCTGGGACGCTCAGAACGGAGGACGCGCAGGAAGAGCACACACCCTCTGCTCCAGCTCAGACACCGGCCGCCCTGAAACATACCGAGAACACCACTCCTGTCTGCCTCGGCTCTTCTGGCCCGCAGCCTGCGGTGCCCTACTCACATTTCTCTGCTGATCGAATTCCACCCATCCCTTAAGCCCCAGCGTAAAAAGTGCTACTCTCTCCAGAGCCTACGGCAGTGGACGCCATCGCACCTCTCAGTCTCCATGGCGGTCTGTGTACAGCCATCTCCATGGCGCCCACTTCCTCCCGCCGCTGCTCCTGGGCTGGCCACTGCTGCCCCCGAGGGGCCACATCTCCGTCGTCCTCTTAATCTCTATCTTGGAACCACGGTAATGAGCCACCAACAATACTTGATGAATCAAAGTAGAGGGCCTTCCTAGATCAGCGAGTTCCAAGTGGTGCTTTCCAAGAGGAAGTGCCCACAAGGACAGCAAGGTCCCCACGCACTAAGAGCTGACGGAGGCTCTGGGCACTTAGAGAGCAGCTGTAAAACTCGAAAACCCTAAACCGGGCAGGAGTTCCCCAGGCAAAGGGCAGTCCCCATGGGGTGCCTTGGGAAAAGAGCAGGGACTCGCTGGAGGGAAGGGCAGGCATCGTTTGGGGGGAGCCTTTAGATTCGACATAACAGAAATGACAGCCAATTTTAAGTGAGTGACAGGTGCGAGGGCACAGTATGTGAGTAAAAGGGTCAGGCAAGCTGTGGAGTCTGGGCTGAAGGCAGAAAAGGACAAATAAGCAAGCAAGCAAGCCTGCACGGAGGCAACCAGAGGGCGTGGCTGGCACAGGAATCAAGGACGAGCCTTTCAGCCTGAAATGTGAGAACCTGCAAGAGCTCTGAGTGGATGGAGCAGGAGAGCCAGGTAGCTGGGATGCTGTGATGCCCAGTAGTGGTGAGTCGGGGTACTGGGGACATTCAGGGGAAATGGAAGTACCCCACGAAACGCCAGAGACGAGGGACTGAACGTCTGGATAAACACGGAATGTTCAAATCAAGCACAAGAGACTGTCTGCAGCGTGCCGCGCACGGACCACGTCCAGCATGATCAGACCCGAGCGGTATTTACATCATCCTGAGAAGCTGTGATCACCACGCACACGCCCGTGTGTGTAAGAAACTGCCTTTCTCTCCAACCTTTTCACACTGAGCAATCGCGAAGCAATCCTTGGAGCGCTGGGATAGTTACAGGTGGAAAACTAAATACATGTAATCACGACGGTGATGCACTGGCGGATGACTTCTCGTCCCCTGGGGTTAACGCCTGCGTAACGAGATATCTCCCCGGATTCTGTGATCCACCGATCCAGCGCCCTCCCGGCATGTCTGATGACGTGGGGCTCCTACCCAGGGCACATGGGTGGCAGAGCAGTAACTGAAAAAATGGAGACCACAGTTCCATCGGTGGGGGAAATGGAAGCACCGAACACATGCTCCAGAGGCCAAAGGTAACAGGAAGGGTCTGAAGCAGCTTTGGGTCACTTCTGCAGCTGGCAGGCCAGACCCAAAGCTCGCCAGGCGGCACCTGTGCCTGGGGGGCTGGCGCCAATCAGCCTCCACACCCCTAGGTTCTAGGTGCCAGCGACCGCTTTATTACACTGGTGTACTCCCCCGAACGTGGAATCCTCTAAGAAATAAAGATGGTGGAATGACATAGATTCTGGGCCACTGTTAGAAGTCATTGATTCAGTAAGACATTCAAGCTACAATGAACTAGAGGCAAGCAAGAAGCTGAGCCCTGGCCAATGACTATGACCTGTCACGACACTGTTAGCGCAGCTAAGCCAAGTCAACCTCAGGGGTCCCGCCCCGCTCCTTCCTCACTCTACCTGGCCCTCTCCACTGTCCATCAGAACCAGCTTTTGCTTTTCCTCTAGGAAAGAGGACTGCCTTTCCAAGAGGAAGTGCCCACAAGGACAGCAAGGTTAGGCTAAGCTCAGGACTGCCTTGGAATGAAGAATCTCACTGTTCCAGCTGCATAGGTGCCCTTTGTGGAGCCTCCAAAGTGGGTAGCTGGAAGTGGCCCTGGGACCCAGTCCCAGTTACTGCCATGTCCCAGCATCTTAGGGGCCACTTTGCCACCCACTCCCCCAACCAACGCCTGGTGCAAAGAAAAGTATTCCAGGCCTGCCCTGGAAAGAGTTAACTATTTTACTTCTGGGGCATCATCCCGAAAACCTGCAGATGGAGAGGGAGCAACATAAGGGCTCTGCGGGCCATCTGGGGACAGTTAACCTCGGGCAGAGGGCCTCAGCTGGGCACTGCCCTCCCTCCAGGCCAAATGGAAGAGGGCGTCTGGAACCCAAGGGCCAGACTCCCGAGTCCTGTAAGCCAGGTGAACAGAGCCTGCAGTTCTCCAGGTGCTTCTTCCCTGGAGCACAGAGCTCCCAGACGCACACCTGGCAAAGAGAAAGAGCAAGCTGGTCCCTTTGGTGTCCTCTCTCCATTGACCCACGAGCCCTGCCCTCAGCCTGGGCCCCAGAAGGCAGATCTTTAACCACCAGTTTATCTGTAAGATTCCCCTGATCTTCTGGTGGGAATTCTCTTCAACAGATGCCTTTTCTCCTGGGAATCTGCACTTTACCAAGCGGCATAATTATGCTTGGGGTTTGGCCACTGCATCTAATTCCCTCAGATGTGACAATTCGGTCCCCTCCCGGGAGGAGAGAGCTCCAAGAGCATCTTCTCCTGTCAGTCGGGGTGAGTTGCCAAGTCCCACTGCACGCAGCGGACTGCGGGCGCCGTGGCCCACACACACACGGACGTGGGAGAAGGGGCCGGTCCCCCGAGCATGGCGACACAGGCCCAAGTAAAACACTTCGAAGAACTTGTTCCCTCCAGTCCCAGGGTGGGCTCTCAGGAGCAGCCACCGAGCGAGACCGTGAGAAAGGCAGGGAGACGAAGGCTGTCCCTCTGCAACAGCTCTCTTGAGTGGAGGGCAGCCTGCCCCGAGCTGGGGACAGAAGCAAGGGCGGAAACCTCTCAGCGACCGCTGCACGAGGCCCTGGTCTCCTAATCACTGGCACACAGGGGGCTGGCGGCAGCACCCGCACGTCACTCCTCTCTGATCCTGTCTGGCCTTGTCCCTTTCACCCAGAGCACAAATTACTGACAAATGGATGAGAAAGGACTCGACAAATGCTCTGTGGGGGCTCCCAGGGGCAGCGTGCGGACACACCTGCGACCCTTCATTTTCGGGTTCCTGGGAGACAGAGCCTCACCGGCCTGCCACGGGACCTGAAACAGGGCACGTGCTTCCCGAGGTGCCCAAGACGCAGAGGCGCTGTGCCGCGCGCATCCGTGGCCGGCCCCTGGTCACGAGGGGCTTTTATTTAACTGACGGTGGGCAAAGCTCAGGCGAAACCCTGCTGCAGACGAGGCAGACGAGACAGACGTCAGGCGGGCAGGACTCGGGCCCCTGCTCTCGGGCACTCTGCAACATGCTAACTTCAGGACAAAAAGGTTGGCAGGCCAACTTTCCAAGCACCCGTCTCAGAGCCGGGTGGGAGAGGAGGTGGCCACCCGCGCGGCAGCGTGCCCGCAAGGTCTCAGGGACAGAGCGAGCTACCTAGGAGACCCTGCCGGCAGCGCCTCCTCCCGGGGCCCCCCTGGGCCTGCGCTTCCACGTCTGTAGAATGGGCCATCGCTGCTGGAGACGAACCTCCCCTTCCGGAAGAGGGCAGTCGCAGCGGCTGCTTCCAAACTCAAACTCGAGAGACCTTCTGAGAGACCAGCATCAAGTGTGGGACTCAGCGGGCTGACTGCCATCGGAGAACACGGCCGCCAGGTGCCGACTCCGTGTCTAGCTCACCAGGCATCCCTGTGCCAGACCCCTCCCCAGCCTTCTCTCCGGGACTTGTCAGCATCTGCTCACAGCCTTTAGCCACGCCCGTCCCTTCTCCGGGCCTTGGAGATAAATCTCATACCTCCCAGACATGACCCCTAAGTGAGCAAAGACCTGCTCTCCAAAGTACATCACCCTTTCGCCCCTAAAATAACATCTTCCAGACTTGGGGTATGGGTGGAGGAAACCAGAGAGGCTTTTCCTTTTTCCTTCCCATGGGGGAAGGTTTCACCGCTGAGAAGTTGGGAGCCCAGAGCATATGCAGGATCCCCCTCCCCAGCTGGACTGAAGGTTCTAGAGAACACAAGAGGAAGGTAAATGGGAACAAAGCCTCCCAAAGCCAGCAGGCCCTTCCGGGCCAGTCCTGTTGTCCCCCATCGGACTGAGGCACCTACGGGCTTGGGACATCCTAGGGGAGAAAGAGAAGGCTGAGATTCCGCTGGCTTCAAAGGCTTTGCCGCGCACCAGAAGGCATTCTGGAACACTGACAGCCAACTTCGCCTAGCTGGGCACAAGACACCATTCTCTTCCGCCTCCCCAGGGGCTGCCATCCCTGTCAGAGTTCCTGGGTCGCGCCCAAATTTTCATGAAAACAGAGCCAGGGATGGAGAATCAGTCTACGGGGTGACACATACTTTCCTTTGGGC